TTGTTTTTTGGAGAGTGATACAACTTATGGTAAGCCCATTGCTAGGCAAGTTATTTATGGTAACCGAAACTTTGTTGTCATTTTATTTAAAAAATAATGCATTTTATTATGCATAAATTCTGCGTTTTAAATATTATTTATGGCTTCTAAATATTAAAAATCAATTTAATTTTGCATTTTTATTTGAAATAAAAATGTTATTGTTTATGATATTTTATGTTGTGATGATGTAATGAATGATGCACATTACTTTAAAAGTTAATTGGTTTTTAATATCTATAATTTAATCTAATGTTTTTAAATATTATTTATGGCTGTTAAATATTAAAATACAATTTAATTTTGCATTTTTTTTTAAAATGATTTTATTATGTATGATTATTTAAATAATTTTAATTCTATTCGTGATGTATCAGCTCCCTGATTGGTTACTGACTATTTGTGCATTACTGCGCCATTTTAAAATTTTATTATTCATCTCTTCGAATTCCTTAGATTACATTTTTCAAATTTTTTTACAAATTTTTTCAAATCTTTTTCATAGATACTTAAATTGTAATTTAGATTTTTTTGTGGTACTTATCAATATACGGCAGGTTAAATATTCAAAAAATGTAAGTACACTGCTCAAAAAAAAAAAAATGGGACAGTCCTATATCTCCCGATCTACTGGGCCGATTGACAAAATTCAAATTGCGTTCTTCATGTCTCGAAAGCGCGACTTAGGATATATATTAGATTTATATATAGCACTATTCTAACATAGGTATTTTTGACACAAATTGGACTTTTTCTGAAATAACATACCAATTTTTTTACATATTTCTATTCTACGACTCAAATTACGCCTAAATAGGAAATTTTTGTAAAATTTGGAGCGAAATTTACGGAAAATTCACAAATTTATGTTGGCACTTTTTTTGTCAGTTTGCGCCAAGAATACTTCACTTGGCGAACTTCTTAATATCTGGCAACCTAGTTTCCTTTCCTATGAGAGGAAAAAAAGTCACCATCGTGTCCTTTTTTCCAAATAATATTCTTTATATTATATTTTTAATTATAACTTATTATTTTAAGTAATTTTTTCTTTTTCGAATTTCATTTTAATTGTTTTAAGTGCACGTGTTTTTTTTTCGAATAACTGTTTTAAAAAAATTTCTATTTACCTATTCGAACTGCGTAATAAAGGTGCAGCGTTTATTTTTTTCAAATAGTTTTCTTTATATATATTTTTCGTCATAGTTATTATTTTAGGTAATTTTTAAATTTTTATACTTTTATTTTTAATTGTTTGTGTTGTTCAGAAATGTTCCGTTCAGAAAAGATATATATAAATAAGAGAGATGTATAACCGACATTTTAACTTAGGATGACTTGCATACACTGCTTTAAACAGTTTTATCATTGTGCCCATTGCTTTACACAATTTTATCCTACATTTGGTTTCTTAAAATGTTATTCATATTTTAGTCAAATATTTTATTTTTGAAATCGCAAGAATCAAATATCATAACATTGAAAAGTTTTAAATTAAAAAAATACAAATACTAAATTTTACGAAAAAATTTATTTTTCTTCTCTTTTTCTTTAAGCATTCTGAAAGTATATTAAAAAGTATCCAACTTTTCGAAACATTTTGGTATTTCTGACAATCATTTTAAATAAAGTTATCGCCTTCCATTTCATAAAGGCCCACAAATGGCCTAGCGGTAAAGACGCTGATCACTGGTAGTTCGGTCCGAGGTTCGAATCCCGCGAACGGGCTGGTTGCATGGGTGTTTTCGTGGTTTTCCCGATGTGTAACGTGTATACGAGGCCAGTTTTCCTTAGAAAGTCCTCCACGAAGGCATCCCTCCCTTTAGGCAGATAGCCCTCGTGTGCTTTGCCATAATTAAATAATCCAATCCAATCCAATCCTTAATTAAATATAATTGATTTGTAACTTCTACTAGAACTGACGTTAAGAATTGAAGTGCAAATAAATAATATCGTGTGCAATCTTGATTAATATAAAATTAAAAAGATTTGCATTCAGACAGAAAGTTTTTTGAAATATTTGCAATTACTTTATAAGAAGGATTTATTAATAACCGTAATAATTACTTAATATATTACTGATGATTAGGAATCAGTTCTTGACAATTACATTCTAAATTAGAATTTTAAGAATTATTAGAATTTTAAATTAGAATAATGAAAATACGCTATGCACAAAAATACATTTTAGGATAAAAAATGAGTTGATTTTTTATGTTTTAAAACTTCTTGAATTCATTTAATAAACATCGTGTCCTTGTTGTTAATTGAATTCAGAATGTTGGGTGTCGTTTATATAATTATTCTTACTTGTCCACGGAATCTGCTGACTTATCCAGCCATTAAGTAGCTGCAGATCATTTCTACATAACCATTGAACTTCATGGTTATGTAGAAATTCAGTCTCTAGAGGTTTGTATATTTATATCATAATTTGACTTTTATAAAAATGATTATTCTAAATCTTATGTTTCTATAAAAATATACTGTGCTTTAAAAATATAGATGATAGTACCAGCTGCTCTTTCGGCCACTTCAAAAGCATCAGTTTGTTTAGATATAAATTGTGCAGTTAATGTCATAAAATTCAAATAAACATCAAACGAAAATTCTCAGTTTTAGACAATTCGATTTAAACGAAGTAAAGTAGCAAACGATAAAACGGTAGTAAAGTAGCAGACGATAAAGGTAAAAATTTACTCTTATTAAATAAAAAAAAAAAAAAAAGATAGAAATTTAAAAAAAATATTAAAAAATTTATTTAAAAAAATAGCTTTTCATATAGTATTAATACATATTTATTACACATCTTTGAGGAAAAAATGGTCATATAATTAATTCTCCGTAAAATTTTACTTGAATTTAAAGTTAAAAAAGCTGTGGCAATACAGTGTAACAAAAAATCCTTAGACCACATTTGGCATTATTATCGCTTAAAAAAAAAAAAGATGCCAAATTTCAAAACGCGAAAATATATGTAAATTTGTGTATATCTTAGAAAATTTTGAATAAAAAGTCTAATTTTTTGCAGATATGCTCAAAAATATACCTACTTTAAGATGATGGTAAAAAAATTTTATAGGTTATAATTCAAAATTTTTTTTCGAAAAATTTATAAAAATTATTTAAAAAATAGAAATTTTAAAAAAATAAAACACAAAAATGGGTAAATTTTATTTGGAATGAACCTAAATTTGAAATGTGAGAGAAAAATCGGAAAAGTTTAATAAAAAAAAGAGATATAAATAAATATTTGCCAAATTCAATTAACATTGAGGAACTAAAATTTTGAGAGCTAATATTTCAAAAACTACTCGTACGATTTTTACAAAACTTGGTATTCTGGCATAATTTGAGTCGTAGAATCGAAATATGTAAAAAAAAATGGTATGTTATTTCAGAAAAAGTCCGATTTTGTGTCAAAATACCTATGTTAGAATAGTGCTATATATAAATCTAATATATATCCTAAGTCGCGCTTTCGAGACATGAAGAACGCAATTTGAATTTCGTGAATCGCCCCAGTAGAACGGGAGATATAGCACTGTCCCATTTTTTATTTTGAGCAGTGTACATATATTTCTTTTACTTTATAATTGTATACTTCAATTTTTATTTAAAAAAATTAATACACTGTTTTCAAAAATTGCCGAGATATTTATTACCACATATGTTTTAATGTTTAATGTAATTATATCCTATAAAACTTATTTTAAGGGATTTGAATTTAAGTAATATTTTAATTCTTTTAAACGTTGGTATGATGGTTTTAATTCAATATTCAATTTAAGTAATATTTTAATCCAATTAAACATTGGAGCAATATTTTTATAGCGGGTTCTTATTCTATTTCTTTGTTATATGAAAGTAATAATTTAACCTTACTTTAGTATTTTATACTCATAGTAAATGTATTTATTTACATTTGCCCACCATCTTAAAAAACAACGTTTTCAACAAAAAATTAATCCATTATTTTTAGAATAGTTTTATAAGTTTCGAATACTTTACTATGCGTAAAATACGTAAAAACAGCGTTTTTCAAGATGGCTGACGATTGTAAAAACCGCGCCAACATAAATTGCCAAAAATCCATGCAACCGTCTACCAAAGTAGCACCAAATATTTAACCTTCTTCATAATTAAAACTCTTTTTATGCACGACTGTAAAAAGGACACTTTCTTTTTTACAATGGAGTATGGATTCTTTTATAAAATCCATGAAAGGAAACTTTTGCATGCAAATCATTAAAAAAACACCTAAATTATACTTTTTGGCCATGATGCATATAGACGACTTAGAAATAATCTAGAAATTCAATTTAGGCTGTTTAAAAATCAGCAAATGATATTCAAATGCAAATATCCGACCAAGAAAGAACTACCATGCAATCCAACTAAATTCTGTTACCAGTTCAATTTTCACCTTTTAAAAATTTAGTTTTAAAATTAAAAAAGACCATTCAAAAACAAGCAACACATGACCAAGAGCGAAATATTCCTTTTTTTTTACTTTATGTTCCAAATACTAAAACATTTCTTAACAAAAATAGAAATATACCTTCTTTATCATCAACCGATAATAGGAATCTGCATTGCACAGAACATTATGTGTAAACAAATCATTATTTTGGGCATCTTTTTTTCCTCTCAAATTAAAAAACAATGTATAATTAAGATGACCTACTACAATTAAAAAAAAATCGAGTAACTTATAAAAATATAACATTTCTGGTTTTTGAGGCTGCAAAAGTAATTTTTTAACATAAAATTAAACATAAGATATAATTAATTAATTAACATAAGATACAGTTAATTACCCTCAAACTTTGTAAATCCCTTTATTTTCTTAATGCATAAAAAAATATAAGTATGCATATTCATGGATTTAAAAATGTATAAAACATAATTAACTGCAGATGGTACGAACAAGTTCGAAAAGTATTAGCAACAAATTCACTTACCATATAATTTGTGGGAGCCTCTGGTAGGTGTAGATTGTAGGAGTTAATCTGCTAGAAGAGAAATTTCATAAAGTATATTTTCAAAGTTCATAAGCAGAAAAATTTAGTAAATATAAGTAAAAATAATAGAAAATGTTTGCGAAAGCATTTTAAAGGTTAAAAATACATTTATTTCCACCTGAGTGGAAACCTTCTTATCGATTTCGAATAAAATTATCTTGCAACACTTTGGCCGAAACTGATACACACTAAAGATTACCCTTGTTTAAAAAAATCAACAGTTCAAACTAAAGTTATGACTATCGCATGCCCATCCGATTAAAACAGATCATAAACTGTTCTACAGAATCTGATATGCATTATTTGACATATTTATTAGACGTACGTCAACATTTGAAAATGACGCCATAACAACAGTAGTGTTGCCATACACTCAACTTAACTTTCCTTCAAACGAGGTTGCCTGGCCTTGATGATTCTTCCTGAGCAGAATGGAGCAATAAAGGAGTACTTGGGTGCACTCAAGGTCTGTAGACGAACAGATTAGCTGAACAATCTTTTGACTCTAATATTTTTATGTACGTTTTTTTTTTTTTTTAACTGCAGCTTCTGAGTAATACATAGATGTATTAGTATTACTATGGAGTTATTATTAGTTACTATGGTGTAATACTGCACGAACTTCAAGCAGATGTAATCTTTTTCTTTACTCTATAGTTCTTTTAGGCCCACCAGCGGCCGAGCGGTAAAGACGCTGAACACTGGTAGTTCGGTCTGAGGTTCGAATCCCGCGAACGGGCTGGCTGCATGGGCGTTTTCGTGGTTTTCCCCATGTGTAACGTGTATACGAGCCAGTTTCCCTTAGAAAGTCGTCCTCCACGAAAGGCATCCCTCCCCTTAGGCAGATAGCCCTCGTGTGCTTTGCCATAACTGAATAATCCAAATCAAAATCTATAGTTTTTTTATTCATTATCTATTCATATTATTATCTATGTCTTGTACAGTTTATGTTTCAGAAAATGGCAATATGTTATACTCGTTTTTTTTTTTTTTTTTTTTTTTAGTTAACTTTTTTTTAGTGTAACTTTTGTTTTTTAGTTAACTTTCTTAGTGCAACTCTTTTTTTTTTTTTTTTTTTTTTTTTTTTTTTTTTTTTTTAGTAATACATATTCTTTGCCAGAGATCCTCTCTGGTAGCTCTAGTTTACCCAAATGAGCTAATCTAATGTTCAAAAATTCTCACCAAATTTGTTACCTCAAGAAGCTATTTATTACTCGGAAATAGCTATCTATATCTCTTTAGTTATTTATGACTCTACAATAATTAAATAATTCTTTTACTCATACTCTAAGAACATATAGTGAACTTGAGATTCAGAAAGCAGTGCCTCCTTTTACTCTGTATCAAGTGAAGAACTTCAGTAAAACAAAAAGACGAAAGTAAAAGTCGGGTGGCCGCCATCAGTCGACGAAAAAGGTGAGTTTCTGGTCGAAGGTCCAAATCAGTAACTGAATCTAGTATAAGTAAAAGATGTTAAGGATGGAGAATGTCAGATGGATATTTGTGCCTTTCTCTGGGAAATGGAGAACATCTAAGAGAGTTATGCAATTGTTAGGATGAGTGAGAACTGAAATTTCTGGCAAGTTTTTGAATGTAATTTTGAATTGTATCAACTTTGAGATCACGGTGGATATACGAATTTGAAATGAACCATGTCGCGTTGATAATCTTTCGGAGTGCTTTGTTTTGAAGAACTTGGATGCGTTGAAGGTGAGTTTTGGCAGCGTGGCCCCAAGCAGGATTAACATAGAGTAATGCTGGTCGAAGTATAGATTTATATAAGAGAAGTTTATTAGAAGCGGACATATGACTTCTTCTGCCAAGAAGTCGGCGCATAGTTGCAAGTGTGATATTAATTTTTTTCACAGTTTCCCTGAGATGTTTCTGAAAGAATATGTATTGTTAAGAAGGAAAACTTCGCAGCAGCAGAAGTGGCTCCCTTCAAAACAAAAAGAGAGACAACTGCGCATGCGTGAAATATCTGTCGTCGAAAAGAAAAAAGCTAAAGTCGAAGTTCGACGGTCACATTTATCAAGAGTTTAAAGCTGTGTGACTCCATTTTTTTCCTCCACATTGACGGATATAAACTTAGACATCAAACTGCGTTATGGATAATGGAAGTTCAACAGCCAGTGAAAGTGAAACTTCACCTAATTTTCTTATTCATTTTAAACGTATTCCTCAATTTCCTGTACACGTCGCAGAGGAGGAAAATCTCGGCCAGGTCTGGTACATTCCCCATACAGCACACTTAGTTGCTATGACGTTGCAGTGACCTCTCAATGTTGCATTTTCTTCACATTACATTTGTGACCACGGTACAACGCCGCAGAAATGTGGCATTGTGATGTGGATGTGAATGTCGTACGGATATCACATACACGCCGCAGCAAACGTTTATTGTGACGATAAGAAATTCGCAGTCTTCCCCAACCTGACCTTGCTCGCGTAATTCTTCTTTAATGGGGGGTTTTCTTGTGCCTTGACCTCCCTCCCCCCGATTCATTGCTATGTGTTTCAGTAAACCTTCCTAAATAAATGAGTCTTTTATGCTAATAGCTTGCAATTTTAGTTATTTCTTTTTATAAAAAATATTAACAGTTCTTAGCGTGTTTTTATTGATATGGTACTTTGAAATCATTGAACTAGATTCTGTGGTGAATGGATTCAAATTCTACCATATCTAGTGTCTAGAGACTGATGAAAGAGTTTGTTGTCTGCATAGCGTTTGTTTGTCTTAAGGATTTTCGCGACCATTTTTTTTTAGTTCTGTTCACCGAACACATGGTCTGTGCTACATTTTCAGGTAAGCACTACTGTTTATTGTACATTGAAGTGAATGATATCAGTAATGATTAATATGTAATAATAAAAGCGTAATTTAAATGCAATAAACAGAAAGACATACTGGCAATTGATTAACTTTTATTTGTATTACAAAGCGTGGGGAAGCAACGGCCATTATCAAAAGTCATCTTATTTTTATCTCACTGCTTAGAAATTTTAATTTAAGGAGTCAGGTTTATTTGCTAGATATAATTTACTTTTTGTTGTTTTTAATGTTAAAAGATAATGTGAAAAAAGAATTGATTTTATGCATTTTACTGCAGTACTTCCATCGTGTTCAGCTATTTTTCGAAATTATTGCAAAATAATTACTTACTTCCATGCGTGGTACTTACCGTTACGTTATAAATGATGCAATACTTCTATAACCTCGTTTTAGTTATATAGAACATGTTTTTTAATTATTATAACTTTACAAATGGTGTATTACTTTAAAACACTGAACTTTTCTACATGTTACCTATTTGTGAATTTCTGAGATTAGTTTTAAAATTTATTATATCAGATCTTTTCTTTTCGCAAATTATGTCACACTTTTACGTATAAGATATTTGTGCTGTTAAAGTTGTAGGATCTTAAGTTTTACTAACGTTATTTTATTTTAAATCTTACATCACTTCTATTTCTATACTTCGCAAATTATAGCGCGGGGAGTTTTGCAAAGTTTCTGGCGACGCCAAGTATTTAAGTGTGGCCTTTGCCAAGCAGAGGAGAGCAGCCGTGAGTTCGAGCAGGCCGCTTACCTTAGAAGTTACGCAGTTGCTACTTTGCCTTCAGGCCAGGGTTTTATCCTCTTGATAAATTACGTATTGTAGAGTTCACAGTCCTGTGCTACACCGCTTCCTGTTATTATAAGGCCAATCTTACTAAAGTTAAATTAGTTAGTTTATTTTGATATCTTTAAGTTAGACCCCGATGGAGGGTCATTGTATTCCGAAGTACGAATCATTGTATATAAAAAAAAATAAGTTTTTGTATACCCTTCGCGGTCCTGTCTACTTCTACAATTATGAACATAGCTTTAGTAGCTCTCCGTTCTATCAGTCATTGTATGTTTCCGAAGAAGGTAGAAGAAACATTGAACCTGATGTGGCGCCCACAAGAATCACCATGCCGATTTCAAGAAAACCTGTGCTGCCTGCATAAACAGCTCGATCCGAAATGCCAGCTGCCGCCCTGGAGGATTGGGATATTGGAACACTGCGCCTTCGATGAACAAAGAACGTTTTAATGGAAACTCACATTACCAGTTTTTTGGAAAAATTGGATGACCCTTCATGCTCTACCCCGTGCCGGTTTCAAAAGTTACCTTAGCTACCGCGCTTTGAGGGCAAGCGCTTAACTGGTTCAAATGTATGGCAAGTCTCTTGGGTCAAGCAGAAGTCCCACCTATACCTACGAAAATTTCAAGACTGCCCTACTAAATCCTTCCCGTTGTAAGGGATCGTGCCAAATTGGAGGCGGAACTCTTCAGCACATACCAGCAACAAATTGAAAATCTCTCAAGCTTTATTTTAAGAAAATACACGTCTTTAAACTTTATGGAAGCCGCCGGATCCTGAAATAATCCAAGTAATTTTGTTTAGGTTACTTCCCCAAGTACAAGACTTTATTGAATTAAGGAATCCAACGACATTGGAAAAATTATTTTAGCTCGCAATCCAGTTTGAAAGTAGAAGAACGGCGGGCATTGAAAGAAGACGCCAGCACGAGCAACAAAGCCAGTTTGGTGCGCCAAGACCACAGCAGAGACAAGAGCACGGCTACGGAAGCAATTTGAATCAATGGTCAAAGAAACCCGAGTATCCAAGAACAACCGGCAAACGTCGACAGTTCAATAATAAGCCAGAAAAAAAAGTTTGAAAGAAGGAAAGCCAGCGGAAAAATAATTTAACTAAAACGGATTTTCTGCTGACGAGAGGGTGCGGAAATCTAAGGCCACGAACCCCTCTTCCTACAAGTTAAATACAGTAATGGTGAAAAATTAACTCTTCCGAAGATTGAAGTCTGGTAAATAATATCCCGGCCACCGCACTC